CAAATTTAGTCAAAAAGATATATGAATGTTATGTTTAAAGGATTCAACGTTAGAGAATTCTATATATATATATATATATATATATATATATATATATATGGAAATATTTGTTGCGTTCTCACACTCGATTATGATTACGGCATCCCTTTTCATAGTTCGAATCGTGAGAACATGGCAAATAAAAATATTATAGCAAAAGACTGGTAAAGTATCATGTCGTAGTAATATTCGACCGTTCTAAAATTTTCCAATTGCCTAGGGCATTAAGAAGGAAAGAGGACTAGAATCGGATTTGACTGAATTAGTTAAACAACTGTCAAGGATAATCTAAGGTTCGCCAAGGATTCGCTTGTGAAAAATTGGAAGTATAGTAATGGAAGGACCATATTGACATTATTATTATTAGATATGATTCTATTAATAATGAGTTGTCATATGGCAAATATGGAAATGTTTCCTTATTGGGAGTTGGACGTTAAGGATCTATGTCTAGATTAGAAACTTTTATGCAAGAAGGATATTCAAAGGAATGTACTTTGAATGTGAGACTTCATGACTATGGAATTGTCTTGCAACAATCTCCAATAGAAGACTTTGTAATTTCATTGGCCGAGTCTTGGTGATTTTTGTGCCATGACATTACGAAAGGACCATTGCATAAAGTGTTAGAATCTAACATATTCTATAAGTGGCAAGAATTTGGTATTCTTACACTTGTGGTTAGGATTGGGAATTGTAAAATAAGTGTGATTGAAAATGTTATTCAATTATACTATTTCACAGAGTAAGGACCATAAGTAAACATAGTGTGCATGCTAAGAGCATGGGACAATTGTCGTTATAATTCAAGTAAGAAGTTGATTAACCGAAACAACAAATAACGAGTAATCAATATGGTGATTAAATAAAAGGTGTTTTATTTATACTCAAAGGTTTGGGCCATATAAGATTAGTATTATTCTTGTGTTTCAATTTGCATGTTTTGACTTCCTAAATAATTGAGTTATTTGAGAATAATCGAATTATTTGAATGTTCCACAGTCGCTCATACTTTAGGAGTAGGTATGAAAGAAGATTGTCATGAATTGGTGTGTAGACCGTCTAAAGTGTATTAGACATAGCAAAGGTTTGCTACAACGTTCATGAGTGCTTACGAATATGATTTGAGCATTGGATTAAACCCACGCTCACTTGGATCACTTCATGGATTTTATCACGAGTGATTGGTGAGACGATAATATCTTATATTCTTGAAACCAAGATGTGTGAGTTGTATCTTGCGAGTCGGTTATACATTGATAATATGTAAACGCACCAGTAACTTGGTGTTATAAAACGTATTGTTGTGTGTGATTCGGTGAGTAAGTACAAGCGAGCATTGAGTCGAAGTTTATCCGTTCCTTTTACCCAATGTGGGATAAAAGCGATATCTGTGGGCCCCTCGATGATTTAGTGATGACAAAGGAAAGTGCTCGGCCGGGCCAGGGCTTATTTGATTTGTTCAATTAGTCAGTCGTCGTAAATCAGAAATTGGGAAACAGCACATAGACTGAGAGAATGATTTCAATCCATGTCTCACGTCTATATGATATCTAGAACGGAGGAATATATGATTCCTTATCTAAAGGACGCGTATCTGATAAGATCAGAGTTGACAACGGCTTTTGAAAGCTACGATTGCGGATCAGGATCTGAAGTCATACGCAGAATAGTTATTAGACTTATCCAAGTGGGAGACTGTTGGATTAGTGTCTAAGTTCATAACTATTTTGGTATGTACTTGACCCGATGGTGCATGGTCCTTTTGGGTTGCCTTCACCAAAGCAACTTGATAGGATGAATTATGGAGAGAGAGGATTAATTATGATTTATTAATATATTATATGAATAATATATTAAAGGAGAAATCATATTGTTTAATTAATATTGGTCAATAATTAATTAAGAATTAATTTTGTGGCTAAAAGATATTAATTAAACTTAGGGGACTAGAACTATCAATTGTGTGATAGTTGAATATTGGGCTAATAGACTTCTTATTAGAGGGGTGGACGAATTCTATGGGGAAACCCATTAGAAATCGTCCAAGGCCTCTAAAGGAGGAGTCCATGGGTTGCTTAGGGCCTAAGCAGTCAAATTAGGGTTTCCTTGTTAGATAACCCTAATAGCCTCACTATTTAAGCACCCCTAGGGCACCAAAAACGTGGCCATCTGATTCCTTAGGGTTTCTAGACGTTTTTGAGTATCTCTCCTCTTCTCCTTCTTCATCCTCTTGCTCTTGGTGTTTGTGAGCCATTAGAGGAGTGACATTTGTGACTCTAAGCTTTTAGAAGCCAATTACTAGAAGGAATAGATTGTTATTACTACATAACAATCAAGGTATGATCTAAACCCTATTCTTATGTTAATATTGATTATCACATGCTAGATCTAGGGTTTATGGCTTTGGATGATTATTGCATGTTCATTAGACAAACTAGATCCAAAGCTTTAGGGTTTGCATGTACACCATAGGAATGTTGTAGTGCTCATAACCCAACAATTACAAACTTAGCCTTATAGGTTACAACTTACGACCTTAGACCATCCACCACGAATCAAAATGTCAAAATAGTCATATGGTCTATGAATCAATGGTATATATTATATAATACTTATTAAATATTAATACTTGATACATAAATACATTTAAAAATAAAATAATTTTTTTTATTAAGGATATAAACGGGTTGGCGGGTCAACCCATTTATTTTTTGAGAAACCCATATATGACCCGTTTAATAAACGGGTTGGCGGGTTAGCAGGTTGGCGGGTTGAAAAACTCAACCCAAACCCATTTATTTCGTGTCGTGTCGCGGGTCGTGTCGAGAATTGTCAGCCCTACCTACCAAGTACATTGAAATATCTTCATAGGATATATCTATTAATCACATTATGAATGGTAAACTTTTTAACTTGCTACATTAATACTGTCTTGATTGAGAAACTTAGAACTTGCTTGCAATGTAAGAAATAACAACGTATTTTAATTTTACATCATTATAATTTCACTATTTTCCTATTAAGGAATTATACTTTAACAAATATTCAATTTAAAAATTTACCTATATAAAAAATTTCAAAGTATGTTGCTATTTTTGCATCCAATTCATAGTAAAAATGATAGGTGGTTTGAAATGTTGGTATTGCTTCTTGATTAGTTTAGCATAAGTCAACGCTTTGAGCTTCTTCCTTAATTGCTTCATACTTATATGAGAACAAATTAAAGAATGATGTTATAGAGAAAATAAAATCAATGTATTGTTTTTAGTTTAAGGCTTATTCGCAGTGGTGATTCTTCAACAAGATTACTTATATACCTTGCATGAAGTTAACTCCGCCTGATAAAATAATCCTCTTTTATTTTCAACAGAGGCAATCCTCATAGTTGTTTGTTTTGCTATGACCATTAACAAAAATCAAGAACAATCATTATCAAATGTTGGATTATACTTGCGTAGACCCATCTTCACTAATGGTCAATTATATGTCGCTATTTCTCGCATTATAAGTTATAAAGGCTTGAGGTACTCATATGTGATGAGGAAGACGACCCAACTAATAAAACAAAAAATGTAGTTTACAAAGAGGTCCATCAACAATTATAGATATTCAAGCATTCATTGTACTTTGTTAGATATTTCATTGTTACCAATAACGCAAAGTGTGTTTTCGTTACATTATCTTTTTTCTTTTATTGTTCCAATATTTTATACTTGTATATGTATTTTTTTATACGTTCCCTCGCATTTTACGCGTGTCATAATCTAGTAAAATAAAAAAGTGGACATGGCAACTAGATTCGAACATTGATCTGGTTGGGTTTTTATTTAAATACATAAGAGACGGTCCGAGTTAATTTTTTAAAATATGAACTGAACGTACAATTTGATATTTGGATTAGGGACGATTCATGTAATTTACTCAAAGTATTATAAGAAGAAGGGGCACCCCCAAGGATAATAAAGGAAAGCAATTAAATAAAAAGTTGACATTGAAACTATTTTCGAACACGGATTTGTCTAAATTAGATTGCTTGCCATCTGCTTGTTTTAACCAATCAACTACTGATTACTTTTATAAATCTCTTAACAAATCCTTTCTAATAAATGAAAATCATTTTGACACATGTCATTCTCCCATGCATCATGCCACATGTCATTTTATCATAATTTTGAGATATTTATTTTCCACTTGTCATTTACTTCATTTTTCTTTTTCCAATATATCATTAATTTATTTTTTATAAATTAAATATAGTAATTTCAAATTTCAAATTTCAAACTTCAATTTTAATTTTAAATAAATTTATAGTTTAAACTTTCGTATTTAAGATTTTGTTATAATTAACACGTTTAGTACACGGATCTGACAACTAAACAAATAACTTTAATCTATTTTTTTGCATGTTTTTTTTTAAATTTTTTTCTGATAATTTTACTTATTTCAATTTTCAAATTTATATAAGCTTTCCGTTTAATCATTCGTATTTAACTTAATCAACCCGTATAATATACGGGTCTAACAACTAGTATTATATATATTTAGATATCAAAATTAATTCTAGGACACCAAACCATATCGAGGCCCGCAGCCTAACTTGCCTCCTATATTGGGCCGGGCCTGTTTCTGATCATTATTTCAAACCTCAAACGTTGGAACTTATACGGCCCAAAGTTTAGGTCTCTGCAAGCAATTAAGACTTATACCTTATGCTTCAAAGGTTGGACGCTACACTGGATTTCGCTCTCATCTGTGAAGTAAAAGATCCTTGGACTTTTGTTCCAAGAATTTTCTAAGCCAAAACCCTGTCGCCACAAACCTCTGTCCTCCCTTTTTCAAATCATTTTATTTGTTCTGTTGACCTTCAAAATTGTCGAAATTAACCCCTAACATGAACTGGGTTCGCACCTACTTATACTCATACCCTTCAACCATCATTGCTACAACATTTTTCTTTCATGGCTCCAACAAAACTCATCTCATGGAAAACCGCTCTACTTGGTTGTTTCACAAGCCAAAAGGTTCTCTTAGACCCGCAGGCTCTTGTGTCAAAATCGCGTAAGTCACAGAGATTATGTATGTCTGATGTTAGCTCATCACTTTTCATCATCAATGGTGTTTCGAATTCTATGGCTGTGTGGGACCTTCACGAATTCGCTCTCGCGGAACTTACGATGATTACACATGATTTCGCATCTAGTAGTTATCTCGGTGAAGGTGGGTTCGGAACGGTTCACAAGGGTTTTGTAGATGATGAACTTAGACCGGGTTTAGAGGCTCAACCGGTTGCAGTCAAGCTCTTGGATTTAGATGGTGGTCAAGGTCACAAAGAATGGCTGGTATGCATGAATAAATAAAATAATAAATAAAACTATTTTCTTTCATATTTTATGGGAAGTTGTTACTGATTTTGGGGTTTTTGTAATAAATTTATAGACTGAAGTGACGTTGTTGGGGCAATTGAGGCATCCGCATCTTGTGAGGTTGATTGGTTATTGTTGTGAAGAGAAGAATAGGCTTCTCGTTTATGAATATATGCCAAGGGGCAATTTAGAGAGACAATTATTCACAAGTAATTTTCTTAGTCTCTTGAGAGTTTAATCTTTTCACATGAGAAAAAGACATAGACAGCGAAAACTCTTACTATTTTTCAAAAAAATAATTCAAAATTTGAAAAAAAAATGTTTATGGCAATATAGGCACTAGTTTTGGAGTATCCGTTGAAAAGTGCTCAAAACGAAATGGTTTTGAGGATATTTTGCAATTTGTTTTGAACATTTTGAGTGTCTTATCCGATTTTTAGTGAGTCTTGCTGTACGCTATCCCCGTCTTCTTTTATATTTTGACATTTAAATACCCCTAGAATGGAAACTTCGACCAATTAAGGGTAAGGCGCCCTAAACCACCAAATGAAAGTAACATTTTTTATGAGAATCGAATAAAAATACATCAACCTTGATAGGTGAAGTCAAATGTTGTTGTTTTAATTAAATAAATCCGTTGTCAAATATATCGTAAACCATATATGTACTTTTAAATATAAATATTTATTTTATATTTATTATTATGTATAATTTTATTTAAAACGTATTTTTACAAATAGATATGTAAATTTTTCTTAAAATAACATTTTTTACATTTAAATATATGGTTTTTTAGTATATATATATAAAAGACCATATGGGTCATAAAATACAGAGCCGACGTGGCATGGCCTCAACGACGTTAAAGGTCAACGAACACCGCCCTGCTTCTCAATGTATTAAGCCTGATTGCCTGCTCAACGTCATTTTCTTTTCTTATTCCACTTTTCTTTCCTTTGCTTTTCTTGCCTCAGAACAGCGTGCTCATGGGCGAATACAATCGCCACAACGGCGTTAGGGCTCGATCCCGATGTGGTAGGGTGGTTTCGGGGTACTTTACCCAACAACCATACATATAGGTTTATAGTACCTATTGGTACGTAGTTTTATGAACAAATGGTTATTATATATATATATATATATATATATATATATATATATATATATATGGAAAAGTTCAATAAAGAACCATAATTATTGTTTCTTCAAGGAAACAAATCTTTTTTTTTCAATTTCTAGAGCTTATTCTTTATCGAAAAAAAAATCTAAAAATATCTAAATTCATATATTAACATTGTGAATGTGAAAAATATTTTTCGGATTCACCGTGTGAATCCGGATTCACATTGTGAATTTTCAAAGATTCACATTGTGAATTTGACGTAAAAAAAAATCGAATTTGATTTCATTGGAAAATGATAAAAAGTTATGAATTTCTGTATTTTTAGTTTTTTTTTTTTTTGATAAAAAATAAGTTCTAAAAGTTGAGAAAAAGATTGGTTCCTTGGTTTCTTGGTTAATTATGGTTCTCTATTGAACCTCACCCTATATATATATATATATATATATATATATATATATATATATATATATATATATATATATATATATATATATATATAAAGGTTAAGTAATTGTGAAAATTTAAACATTTTCGAGAACTCGTGAATTCTTAACATATTTCAAAACGAACACCACGAGTGGACTAGTAGAGCCATGTCTAAGCCAGATCTAAGCTAAAAAAAAAGATTTGAAGAACATATTTTTAAATGTGTGTTCATGCACATTTTCTATTTTCTTCAAAACTTTTCAAAACAACTAGAACAAAGAGATTCTAATATCATCGTTTAAGAAAATCGGAATTTGAAAACGTCAAATAAACACAAAAAATTATAAATGTGCATGCATGTATGTTCAAATGTTCTACATGCACATTTAAAAAAAAGTTCATCAAATCTTTTTTTTATAGTCTCAATCTGATTTAGATACAGATCTACGAATCCAATGGTGGTGTCGGTTTCAAAACATATTTGGCGTATTAAAATTTCTTTGAGTTTTTGTAAATTTTAAATTTAAAAAAGCTCTCCTTCTCTCTCTCTGTTACAGATCTACGAGTCCAATGGTGGTGTCGGTTTCAAAACACACACATATATATATATATATATATATATATATATATATATATATATATATTAAAATTCCATCGAGTTTAGAAAATAAATGCAAAATTACTATATTTATTTGTAAAAAGTTTATTTATTTTTGAAAAAATTTGTGTTATAATAATAATAAGATAATATATATTAAAATTCCACACATATGTGAAAATACATATAATATGCATCTCGTTTACAATATATTTAGAAAGGACGGAGTTATTAAAAAATACAATAATAGGCCTAGTGGTAATGATTTCAACTAGTATGGATGAATTTTTGGTTTGATTCTAGATAAGTCCGTTTTTTCATTTTCTCTCTTAATTTTCAACGTATATATCATAGAATATATTTCATTAGAAAGCTTCAAGTATAAAACTATTTTCTGGTTTAGCGACTATGGCGTTTTCTTGTAAATTAAGTTAAAGATTCTATTCCGAGATTAATATTAATATAATATACGTTGGTTTAGTAGCATCTATAGACTACATAGACACAAGACTAACCATCCAACCAAACATGAGATTAATTTTAATTCCCGGAAAAAAGAACACAACACATATTTAGTTCGCAGTCCCAATGTGAATTGTGAAATTGGCAAGGACTGCAAAAATGGTATATACGTCTTTTTCGTAGTTTTGAGTAATTTTTTTGGAAAGAGTTTAAGAGTTGAGGCTATATTTTTCTTTTTCTCTAATTTTGTAAAATATTAATCAAGACTTTCTTCTTTTTATAAATTCAGGGTATTCAAGTTCATTGTCATGGTTAATCAGGATTCAGATAGCACTTGGTACTGCAAAAGGTCTCGCCTTTCTTCATTGCCAGGACAGACCTGTCATTTATCGCGACTTCAAAACTTCGAATATTTTATTGGCATCGGTATTTCTCTTTGTTTCTCTATCTTTATAATTTTATTATATACATATACATATACATATATATAATAAAATTCTAATATGTTAACAGGATTATACTGCTAAACTATCGGATTTTGGGCTAGCGAAAGATGGGCCTGAAGGTGATGAGACGCATGTGAGTACACGTGTCATGGGGACACAAGGATATGCGGCGCCAGAGTATCTTATGACAGGCCATTTGACCACCATGAGTGATGTGTATAGTTTTGGGGTGGTTTTGTTAGAGCTGCTAACGGGCAAAAGATCGGTGGATAAAAAACGACCAAATCGTGAGCAGTGTTTGGTGGTATGGGGAAGGCCGCTTTTGAAAGATTCTAATAATCTTCATAGAATTATGGATTCTAAACTCGATGGTAATTTTCCAGTGGAAGGGGCAAAGAAGGCGGCAGCACTGGCTAGTCGATGTCTGAGCCACCGCCCAAAATGTCGTCCTACTATGACGGAAGTTGTCAAGACTTTGGAACATATATTGGAATTAGGCGATTTCCAAGTTGATTGGTTTGTGTATATTACTCATGAAGGAGAAAAAAGCGAACAAAGAGAGAAAAAGGAAGATAAGGGTGTTATTGGTAGCGGTAGTTCCGGTGATGAGGAGAAGGTGGTGGTGGTTGTTAAAAAGAAAGATGATGAATGTTACTAATTCAACCCCTAAATAGTTGTTTTATGTGTATTAGTAGGGCCATATGTGAGTGTAGTCCATACAAATAAATAACCACTCCCATACCCCCAACCCAAATAAAGCGTGGAATTGTTAAATTGTTAACTTTTTACTTTTAGGTAGTTTTTAAAGTCGTTATTTATTGTGTACCAATTAAAAAAAGTTAATTTGTTACTACTAAATTCGTATGATACGTAACAAACATAAAAATAATAATAAGACTGTAGGGAGTGGTAACAGTCAACCCATCAAAAAAATGTTGTTATCTCCGCGTCAGCTTCACCACCAACCTACTAGACATTGTAAATGATTATCACTACACAATATTCCTTTTTTTATAGCATTATATTAAATAAAAAATATAATTTATAACATAAATAAATTTTTTGAAAACACAAAAAAATAAAACCCCATTTCATTAATTAAAAACATGGAGTTTTAAAACCTAAATTACTAAAATAAATATAAAACATAACAAATAAAACATTACACTATTTAAAAAACATAAAAAATTAAAACATAAAAAAGCATAGCCATTTTTTTGTTGAATGTGTTTGTTTCTTTTGAAAGAGTTTTTGTGTTTGTTATGAAAAAAGTGTATAATATAATAATATATATATATATATATATATATATATATATATATATATATATATATATATATAGAGAGAGAGAGAGAGAGAGAGAAAAGAGAGAGAGAGAGTTAATTAAAGTAAATGATTTATTTATTTATAAATTTTCAATGGTCAAATGTGTCCACCTCCCAAAAACGGTCAAAAACAATTTCAACCAATCAAAGCTTCCGTCTCTTTCCGTCACCCCACCCACACCACAACCAGAGCACCAACCCTTAGGGCGGTGTTCACGCGTCTTAGGCTGTGCCACCTCAGCTTCACTTGTCTCCTCCTCCCCCTTCCCGGTCAGCCTAAGTGTCGTTTCCAAAAGCAATAACATGTTAGGTCAATTGATAACCTTTTTTTCCCTCTCATTGTCTAGTATTTGTATCAAAGGTTAGAGTCAAAGTTTGAGAACAAGTCTTTTTATATTTTTTTGGAAAAAGTTGAAATACTACAAGCAACTATTGCTCGCATTTGATCCCTCGCCTACCAAGAACCTTATCCTAATCCTCTTTCCTCTTGAACATGAGAGTTTGACATGCAGACGAGTCACGACAAGTGACATCCCTAACCTTTGGTGGTTCTCGTTGATCATAATGATCAATTCTTCCTTGAGCATTGCAATGACGCTCGATATTATATCGAATAAGACCTGCAAGACTTCTAAAGAAATCAACAAACACAAATCATCATCGCGACCGATCCATCTTGGCTACTAGAGTCGGACCGTGAATTGCTCTCTTCTTGCTTGGTTATCACTAACTGAAGACAAAAACAAGAAATGATTATAACCATGCACAATGTAACGTCCCCAAAATATCGACATAAAATTTCGTTTATTTATAGAAGAAGAATCATCAATTACTTGTTTAAATAAAACCGATACATTATAGTCAGAGTATAAATCCCAGAACAAGTCAAATGCGGAACATAAGGTGTGAGTGTCATGCAGTGTCTAAAATAAACTAGTGCTCGTGTCTAAAATATAAAAGCATTTTAGGCAACTTTCCTAAAATAAACTAGTGCTCGTGTCTAAAATATAACAGACACTATCTCAAAATCTTCACTTAGCATTCTAAGTTTAAGTCTAGAAATCCTACAAATTCCTAGTTCGCTTAAACTAATGCTCTGATACCAACTGTGACATCCCCAAAATCACGGCCAGAAAAGACCGTTTTAATTTATGCTTTTAAAATAATTTCAGAGTAAATCCATTGATTTAAAAGAGCTGCGGAATTTGTTCCAAAACAAAATATGATAAAATAAAGTTTATCAAAGCATTTCATCAAGAGATGCATTTTCTTATAACAATATTCGGGATGTCATGTTCCGATAAACAGACCAAAAGCATAAACAACAAAAGATAGACCATACAACAGTTACATATAACAACTGGTCTAATATCAAAAGATCTTGATAAGTCATCAAACTTATGCTCTCGCACCACTACCTGTAATACAACAAAACTGAGTGGGTCAGGCTTGGGAGCCTGGTGAGCATATAGAGTTTTCAACCCACAATAAATAATTATATTTAATTTCACCAACCAACAATAACCCGATTACCCATTCCCGTTATCCTCACTTTACGTCCCTAAAACAACATCTATCTCAAGGGACCTAATCTAGGAATTTCATCGGGATGGACTTTACCGCGAGGGGTTTCCTCAGCAATAAAAGTCCTAAGGCAACCATGAGGGGGACAGAGTACACCGGTGAACACATCGTTCACAACACCTACAGGTTATGAGCCTGCTAGCGTTCCACAGGACTGTCTAGAAAGTGTCCGTGGTCATTATCCATACTCCGCTGGATAACTAGATCAACAACAACAACATCGAGGCCTCTCATCTGTTTATCACACATCAACTATCTACCCATGTTCTACCCAACATATTAGTAGATAAAAATATATATATTTTTATACATAGTTTAAAACCTGTATAACATTCTCATTCAATACATATTCCAAACAACAGATGAGACACATACACATAACACGTATTTCATAGAGAATAAATCATATCTATGAGATAGAAGAAAGTGAATATACATTCACACATATAAACATATACACATAACACGTATTTCGTATCAAATACTTCAAATTATGTGTTAGAAGAAAGTAACTACACACTCACTTGATCAGAAGATGATCGGACAGCACTACGGCTTGTAGAAGTAGTATTCTTCGGTAGATCTGGAAGATTTTCACAAAAATTAGCTTCTCGCTGGCAGAGCTTCGGCTCGGGAATTGCACTTCTCGGGATCTTCGGGGCTTCGGGACTTGCTTCGGGTCTCGGGATGATACCGGGGCTTCGGGGGGTTAAAATAGGGCTTAGAGAGAGTATCGGGAGTGAGAGAGAAGAGATAGAGCAACCAAAATCGGCTGACCCTTGATTTCTATTTATATGGCCATTTTTCAGCTCTCACGTCGTGAATTTTAAGTTCTCACGTCGTGAACTTAGTCGTCACTGCATGCGTCATCACAGGTTTCGTATGACAGGATCTGAAAGGTCAAATCACTGAGTTCACGTCGTGAACACTGTATTCACGTCGTGAACTCTGACACGGTATCGGGGTTCGCACCCCGAACTTCATAAATTCCTAATGTTCGCATACGAGCTCCGTTTTCGACGTTCTTTATATTGACGCGTAGGTGAGACTATGCTCTACAACTCTCGTTTAGACTCCGTCGGCTAATTTTGACTTTATTTTTATTATATTATTTTTAGTAGGCCGGGACAGGAAAACTCCGTTATAAATTCATAACTCCTTCATCCGAAGTCCGTTTTCGTCTGTCTTTTCACCGTTGGATTACTATCGATGAGATCTTCAATTCTCATTTAGAAAGTTTCGGCTAGAAACCACTCGATCTCAAATTCGAGTATTCAGACAGCATACCGCTAAGTCGAAACTTCGAAAAATCATAACTTCCTCATACGAAGTCAGATTTAGACGTTCTTTTTATGCACGCTCTCGGTTTAAGGAACTCTACGACTTTCGTTTAGATTACTAAGGCTAAATATTGCTTTATCTTAAATTCATATTTTACGTCATTCAACGTCGTGTCGGTTCTGTTTGCGAAACTTCGACAGGTCATAACTTCTTCGTTATAACTCAGATTTCAGCATTCTTTATATAATCGGAAAACTCGTCACGACCACTACCACATCCTTCATATATATATCAGGTTTATCTAACATTTCATTTTGACGCTTATTCTTAACCTTAATTAAATTAAGACACACAATTAAGCACAAAACACACAATACTCAAATAATACACTTCTATTATTTCATAATGGGTTACAAAGGTTAACCTAGACTATTACATCAACATTAATGCCTAGCCCAGAAACACGGGCGTTACAATTCTCTCCACCTTAGAATGATTCCGTCCTCGGAATCACACATCAACAAACAAATACGGATAGCGACTCATCATGCCGCTCTCTGTCTTGCAGGTGAGATTTGGCCCATTCGTATGTTTCCAACGGACAAACACTAACTCGACCATCTTGCGTCGTAACTTCTTAGTCTTTCGGTCAACGATTGCCTCTGGTTCTTCAATTAACCTTTTGTTCTCATCAATTCTTAACTCAGAAATTGGAATTATATCGGGAACTTCCCCCATGAACTTCCTCAAATAACACACATGGAAAGTGTTATGAATTCCATTCAGTTCTTCTGGTAATTCCAGCTTGTAAGCTTGGTTCCCAATCCTCTGAAGAACTTTAAACGGTCCAATAAACCTTGGACTTAACTTTCCCCTTTTACCAAACCTTATAAGTCCCTTCCACGGTGAGACTTTAAGCAAAACCGAATCTCCAACTTCAAAAGTCATCGGTCTTCTTTTCTTGTCAGCATAGATTTTCCTGACGATCCTGAGCTGCTAACATTCTTTCCCTGATTATTTTCAGCTTTTCAGCAGTTTGATGGACTATCTCCGGTCCCATAAACTGCTTTTCCCGAGCCTCAAGCCAACAAGATGGCGTACGACACTTCTGTCCGTACAAAGCTTGATAAGGTGCCATCTTTATGCTCAAGTGGAAACTATTATTGTAGGAAAATTCTACCAAAGGTAAGTGTTCGTCCCAGTTACCTTGGAATTCCAAGGTACATGCTCTCAGAATATCTTCAAGTGTTTGTATTGTTCGTTCACTCTGACCATCAGTCTGTGGATGGTAAGCTGTACTTAAACACAACTTGGTACCCAATTCCTCTTGTAGACTTTTCCAAAATCTTGAGGTGAAACGGCTGTCACGATCCGATACAATCGTTAACGGAACACCGTGAAGCCTCACTATTTCCTTCACGTAAGAATTCGCAAGCTTATCCATAGACCATTTCTCATTGGCTGCTATGAAGTGCGCACTCTTAGTGAAGCGATCAACGACCACCCAAATCATGTCGTGACCATTCTTCGTTCTGGGCAGTTTAGTGACAAAATCCATAGCAATGTCTTCCCATTTACCCATCGGCACAGGTAAAGGTTCTAAACTCCCGTATGGT